AAACATTGATATTTTTGAAAAGTTGCCTAAAAATCCTCAAACATTTCTGAGATTTAGTTCTCGGTGAGCTGATTCGAAAAACAAAGTATTAATGGTCCAGTACCAAGATTTCCAAAATTTTTGCTTCACATAAAAATTTCAAAATGATTTAATTTAAAATGTTTAAAATCCCAAATTTTTGAAATGAAATTATGACGTTGATTTCTTTTCATATTGTAAGAGAACATAAAAAAATCAACACTCATGAACAAAAATACGAAATATTTTGAAATATTCCAAATTTTTTGGCGAATCATTTTATTTTAAAAATTCTACATCAATATTTTTTTTTAATTTTTACGAGAATTAAATTGTCTTTTTTTTTATTTGAAAACAGAAAAAAATTGTGACATTTGAATAGTTGACTAAAAATCCTTAAAAAATTCTGAGATTTATTCTAGATATGGACGAGTTGATTCGACAAAACATGAAGTATTAAAGGTCCAGTGCCAAGATTTTCGAAATTTTTCGTTCTCACAACAATTTCAAAATTATTGACTTAAAATGTTTAAAATTCCCAAATTTTTGAAATGGAATTATGACGTTGATTTCTTTTCATATTTTAAGGGAACATACAAAATCTACACTTGTGAACAAAAATACGAAATATTTTGGACTTTTCATAATTTTTTGCCGCATGATTTAAATTAAACACTTTGTACTATAAAGAACACTTTGTTTTAAAAATTCTAGATACATTTTTTTATTTTTCTATGAGAATTAAATTGTTTTTTTTTTGTTTTGAAAACAAAAAAATTGTGATTTTTGAAAAGTTGACTAAAAATCCTCAAAAAATTCTGAGGTTTATTGTAGATCTCGACGAGCTGATTCAACAAAACAAAGTATTAAAGGTCCAGTACTAAGATTTTCGAAATTTTTCGTTCTCATAAAAATTTCAAAATTATTTACTTAAAATGTTCAAAATCTTAAATTTTTGGAATGGAATCACCACGTTGATTTCTTTTTGTATTTTACGAGAACATAAAAAATCTACACTCATGAACAAAAATAGGAAATATTTTGAAATTGTCATAATTTTTTGCCGCGTGATTTAAATTAAACACTTTGTACTAGAAAGAACACTTTATTTTGAAAATTTTAGGTAAAAAATTGAGATTTTTGAAAAGTTGCCTAAAAATCCTCAAAAAATTCTAAGATTTAGATATCGACGAGTTGATTCGAAAAACATAAAGTATTAATGGTCCAGTAGCAAGATTTTTGAAATCTTTCGTTCTCATAAAAATTTCAAAATTATTTAATTTAAAATGTTCAAAATCCTAAATTTTTGGAATGGAATCGCGACGTCGATTTCTTTTCGTATTTTACGAGAACATAAAAAATCTACACTCATGAACAAAAATACGAAATATTTTGAAATTTTCATAATTCTTTGCCGCGTGATTTAAATTAAAGACTGTGGTAGAAGGAACACTTTATTTTAGAAATTTTAGATAAAACATTGATATTTTTGAAAAGTTGCCTAAAAATCCTCAAACAATTCTGACATTTAGTTCTCGATGAGCTGATTCCAAAAACAAAGTATTAATGGTCCAGTACCAAGATTTTCAAAATTTTTAATGTTCACATAAAAATTTCAAAATTATTTCATTTAAAATGTTTAAAATCCCAAATTTTTGAAAAGAAATTATGACGCTGATTTCTTTTCATATTGTAAGAGAACATAAAAAAATCAACACTCATGAACAAAAATACGAAATATTTTGAAATATTCCTAATTTTTTGGCGAATCAGTTAAATTAAACACTTTGTACTACAAAGAACATTTTATTTTAAAAATTCTACATAAATATTTTTTTTTTATGTTAAGAGAATTAAATTGTCTTTTTTTTGTTTTGAGAACAACGAAAAAAATTGTGATTTTTGAAAAGTTGACTAAAAATCCTCAAAAAATTCCAAGATTTGGCTCTCGACGAGCTGATTCGACAAAACATGAAGTATTAAAGGTCCAGTACCAAGATTTTCGAAATTTTTCGTTTTCACAACAATTTCAAAATTATTGACTTAAAATGTTTAAAATTCCCAAATTTTTGGAATGGAATCATGACGTTGATTTCTTTTCATATTTTAAGAGAACATAAAAAAATCATAAACAAAAGTACAACATATTTTGAAATTTTCATAATTTTTTGCCGAATGATTTAAATTAAACTTTGTACTATAAAAATACACTTTCTTTTAAAAATTGTAGGTAAATAATTTTTTGAGAGCATTTAATTGTTTTCTTTTTGTTTTGAAAACAAAAAACTGATATTTTTGAAAAGTTGCCTAAAAATCCTAAAAAAAATGAGATTTAGATCTCCACGAGCTGATTCGAAAAACAAAGTATTAATGCTCCAGTACCAAAATTTATTTTTATTTATGTTTAAAACCCTAAATTTTTGGAATGAAAAGTTGATTTGTTTCCATAATTTAAAAGAACATAAAAAATCACTACTCGTGAACAAAAATACCAAATATTTTGAAATATTCACAATTTTTGGCGCATGATTGAATTAAACACTTTATAGCGGAAAGAACACTTTATTTTAAAATTTTTTTGGGTAAATATTTTTAATGAGAATTATATTGCGATATTTTTGTTACGAAAAAAAAAAGAAAAAATTTAGGATTTTTGAAAAGTTCCTCAAAAAATACTGGGACCCATATTTCGAGAGGCTGATTCGAAAAAAACATGAAGCGTTAATGGTCCTGGACTCCTGGACCAAGATTTTTGAAAAACAAGTTTCAAGTTCCTTCTTTTGTTTTCATGACTTAAAAAAAATATTTAACAATTTTATTCTCACATTTTCAAAAATTATTTATCTAAAATGTATAAAATAAAGTGTTTAAATAACTTTAACCGTCATATTTCTATTCTTGTTCATGGAAGTTTTCCTTGAATTTGTTTTCTTTTCTGGTAATTTTTTCGAAAATTCATTTTTGACTTCGAAACGAGACATATGGAAGCATGTCAAACATAGCGAAAAAAATTGTTTTTAATTAAATTTGGTTTTAAAAATTAACGAGATGTTTAATGAAGAAAAAAAAAGTTTCACTTGGAATCAGAAAAGAAATCTGGCGGATTTTGAAAACTTCTAAATTAATTACCTAAAACATTTCAAAATGACGCTAACAGCTGCATTACCGTTAAAACCCGGCACCCTAACAACAAACGATGCTACCACTTTCTCTATTGTGAGTCACGCTGACCACGTGCTACGAAACGGAACGCTGTGATTCGCTGAATTTAGTGCCTGTTCGTTCCAACTCGGCTTTCTTAAAAAACAAACTATAAATTTAAACAAAACTTGAACTGCGCCAATTACGAGACGTGATTTAGTCGTTTTTACTCAATTAAATTGTGACCGGTCAATACAGATTTCTGCCCGAGCTTAAACAAGTAGCAGAAGATGGCGCTCTCCACTATAAATTAGCTTAATTTTTTCGTTCCGCGTGGATTAATATCAATAGACTCAAGCTACCCATATCTCCTTAAGTTTGCCAATTAAAAACAACAGTTTAATGATATCGGTTTTCAACACAGAACCTTAATAAATAATTGTTTCGTCCACTCAAGTTTATCAACACAAACAGATTAAATTAAAGCCGCGTTTTCCCAATTTTATTATAATTGTTATTTCGACGAGGCGGCAAATCGTATGCGTGCTTTAACAACGTAAACATTTCATAAACATTTCAAATTTGTGCCATTATTTTGAAAACAGTTCGTAAAAATTTCCATCAACTTATCGGCACGAACCACTATTTACAACCCAGCTTCGTTAAAATTTTAGTACCCAACAACTTACACACGCTTTTACGGCATTCCGTCGTGTTATCACCAAATGAACTTTCGATAATGGGAAATAAAAATCGGGTATTAAATTCGATTCGTTGAGAAAAGAACCATAAAAGGAGATTAAGCACGAAAAAACACAACAGATATTAGAAAAATGCGATAAACAGAAAAACTTACCACGTGTGAAGACAAGCGCGCTTATCACCACAGAATTAGCAAACGACAACGGTCTGTCTGGCAAAATTTGTCTGAGATAATGAGGGTTGAGGGTGGGGGGTGTGCGAACCAACGGTTCGCCAAAATTCTCGGTATTCGGGTCTTGGAATAATAGTATCTGATTAGAATGGGCTGGGTGCCTCCCATATTAAACGAGATAACGCTATTTATTATTAATATAATAAGAATGCTAGAGATAAATCAAGAATGTACGTAAGTAATTCTGGGTATATAGATTTTGGTGTTCAAGTGTGACAAACGTGCCACATTCACACAAAACATTAATTTCGGCACCGTTTTGAGTAAAATACGAGTTTAAAAACGGTGGTTACCTAACTGACTACTTGTCTGTCTGCTTATCATAAGAATGATAAGGGTTTTCACCTAGATTTTCCGTTTCTGCGGAATTTGATATCGCGGTGACGACACTTGCATACCAATATCTGAAAATGTCAATTAAATTTTATCTCAGTATATGTACACCAGGATATGAAAATTAATTAGTTGGAGTCCGAATACACAAAACGCGTGTCCAATCCATGAATTAAGTAACATTCTACACACCATGTGCGTCTAATGACTTAAATATGACCTAACAAAGTGCAATTTAAGTATGTTATTGATGTTTTTAAGTCAAGGTGACGGGTTTTTACCTTTGCCAGTATTACAATACCAGCGTTACGGTGTACTTTAGTGCTACCGTTCAGTCCGATTTTGCTTTTTTTAAATGAGTGAAGTTAGTGTCATTCTTATTGTCAACATGAGTGTTATTGATATGGAATGTTTATGGTCCCTATATCTCGACAATTAATGTACAACTCCTGTCGCTGTGATACTTTGGAACTATTGTACAAAATCGAAATTTCGCATGAGGTTTCTTATCAATTATTATCTTCCAACTTTAACATCACCGGCTATTTTTCTCAGTCGTAATTTTATTATTATAACGCCCAATAAATACAGACCTAGAAATTGCAGAACTGCGGATAAGAATAGGAATCTTATCTTTCATAATGACAACGTCGTGATAAGAAAACGATGGTTTCACTCAGATATTTACAATTTAAACATAACGAAGGCTGCAATTACGTGCGTTAGTTACTCAAGCTTGTCGCATAATTATACTATAGTGAACAAACTCCAATCGACAAAAGTTTGCATACATTCAAATTCTTCCAAAACCGTCATCATGCAGCAAAAAACCAATTAAGTTCCTTAATCTAATCTGAGATATTACTTCGATTTAATCAAGGAATTTTCTACAATAAAATACTTCCAAGTAAGTACCAGAATCCTTTTGTGTGTGTCACTACGGTGTGTTTTTAGGGGAAAATGTGCACAAGACTGTTCTGTAGCAGGGGCAAGAAGTACGTGATACAGGATAAGGTTACCAGTGTGCCGGCGCAGAATGGGACTGTGCGGAAAGCGCCACGGCCTGTGTCCTTTTTGCCCCCTAGTGCCACAGCGACGATAAACGATGCGGCGGATCGTGTGGTCGAAATTGAGACGCCGAAGAAGGAAGCGCCGTTGACGCCGCCTCCTGATATTGCGGTCAACGATAAGCCTGTTAGTATCGATACGCTGTCGATTGATACTCTGGAGGAAAAGAGGTCGAGCGAAGATGTTACCGAAAGTAAGATTTCGATCAACCCGGAACCCACGAAAATTGAGAAGGAGGAAGAGAGGAGGCCCGGGGTTATTCCGCTGCCGGTTAGTTTCGACGAAAATGACGTGGATGATATTGCGAAGCACCCCAAAACTATAGAGTGAGTACCTTTTGTATAGCGAGTTTCGTTAACGGGAATCGGGGTGATTGGCGGGAGATACACGTGAAACCTGCCATGGATGATTCAAGCGTGACGATAAAAATGTGTGATAAATTTAGTTGCAGCATAGATCTGAATGTTTTTCTTATCTAAACTGGGGTCCAGTTGTATTCAAATCTAAATCGATTTAATCTAGTCTAGTCTTAAAAATTTAGTAATCAAGTGTCAAATTTTGTTTTGAAAAAAGTACGACTTCCGCTTTTTTCCTTCATTTATCTAATTTTTAAAAGGAATGTTTTCGAAGGTTCTGCTTTTTTTATCAAGAGCGGTCACAATCGGTGTTCCGCATGGTTCCGTTTTACGCAACACGTTTTTGTACTTTTACCAATGACGCTCCACGGTTTGTGGAAACATCGGGTATCGTATTCCACGCATATTTTGCTGATAATGTTACCTATTTAGTAACGATAATGGATTGATAAGTCTTTTTAATATACTTGGAATAAATGTACTTTAAAACATAAATGTGTTCGTTTTGACAAGCGGTTTTCCTTGAAATTGAAAAAAAAAAATAAATAAATTCAATAAAATCTTCCGAAAAATCAAAAAATTGAAAAACTGAAGAGTCGAAACTTGGGATATTGAAAAGGAAACCAATTGAAAATTTGAATATCGAAAATTCGATGAATCAAATATTCGAAAAAACGAAAATCCGAGAAATTGTAAAACCGAAAATTCGAAATCGATATTTCAAAAATCAAAATTTGGAAACATCGAAAAATTCATTTTGAAAATAAAAAATTTGAAAAATCGAAAAATCGAATAACCGAGAAATCGTGGCATCAAAAACCGAAAAATCTAAAATTAAAATATCGAAAAATTGAAAAATCCAGAAATGGAAAAATTCCCAAAATCAAAGTACTGAAAAGCTGAAAAATTTTAAACATTGGAAAATCCAGAAGTTGTGAAATGTAAAATGCGAAAAATTGAAATATGTATTAAACATTTGAAAAATCGAAAAATTGCAGAATCGAAAAACTGCATCCAAAAATCGAAAAACTGAAACATCAAAAAATTGGTAAATTCAAGTCGAAAAATCGAAAAACCGAGAAATGGAACATAGAACAATAATTGGAAAATTGGAAAAATCGAATTAAAAAAAAAAAAATCGAAAAACTGGATAAAAAATTTGGGGAAAAAAAGAGAAACCGAAAAATCTAAAATTTAAGGAATCAAAAAATGAAAATACCAAAAAATCGAGAACTCAAGAAATCAAAACATCGAAATTTTGCAAATTAAAAATTTGAAAAATCGAAAAGTCAAAAACTGGAAAAACTGAGAAATCTTGACATCAAAAGATTGAGAAACGAGAAATCAAAAAGTCAGGAAATCGGCAAATCGAAAAATTCAGAAGTAGAAAAGAAAAATTCCCAAAATTGAAGTATTGAAAAGCTGAAAAACCGAGTAGTTCAGAAATGTAAAATTCGAAAAATTGAAAAATCGAAAAATAATTTAAACATTTGAAAAATAGAAAAATTGCAGAATCGGAAAACTGAATCCAAAAACCGAAATATTAAAACTTTAAAAAATCGTAAAATCTAAAAATTGAAAAATCGAAAAATGTAAAATTTAAACATTTAAAAAATAGAAAAATTGCGGAAAACTGAATCCAAAGACCGAAAAATATCAAAGCTGATATGCACAAAAATAGGGAAATAAAAAAATTGAAAAATCGAAACATCAAAAAATTGGTAAATTCAAAATCAAAAAATCGAAAAATCGAGAAATGAACCATAGAACAATAATTCGAAAGTTGAAAAATTTAAATTAAAAAAAAACAAAATCTCGATAAATCGAGAACTCGAAAAACTGTTAAAACTGAAAAATCCAAAAATTTAAGAACCGAAAAATTGGATAAAAAATTGGAAAAAAGAAGAATCCAAAAATCTAAAATTTCGGAAATCAAAAAATGAAAATATCAAAAAATCGAAGACTGAAAAATTGAAAAATCGAAAATTCGAGAAATTAAAAAATTGAAAAATCAAACACCTGAAGAATGGAATTGAAATTTGAGAAATCGAAAATTCGATGAATCAAATATTCGAAAAAACGAAAATCCTAGAAACAGGAAAACCGAAAATTCGAAAATCTAAAGTCGAAATTCGAAAATTCAAATTTTGAAAAATCGAAAAATCCAAGAATCGAAATATAGAGAAAACGAAAGATCGAAAAACGAAAAGTCCTACAATGGAAAAATTGAAAAATCGAAATTTTGAAAATAAAAAATTTGAAAAATCGAAAAACCAAGAAATCGTGACATCAAAAGATCAAGAAACGAGAAATCAAAACGCCTAGAAATAGGAAAACTGAAAAATCCAGAAATGGAAAAAATGGCAAAATGAAAAGTTGAAAAATTGAAATATTAAAACATTTTAAAAATCGAAATATTAAAACTTTAAAAAATCGTAAAATCTAAAAATTGAAAAATCGAAAAATGTAAAATTTAAACATTTGAAAAATCAAAAAATTGCAGAATCGGAAAACTGAATCCAAAAACCGAAAAATCCCGAAGCTGATATGCAGAAAAATAGGGAAATAAAAAAATTGAAAAATCGAAACATCAAAGAATTCGTAAATCCAAAATTCAAAAAATCGTGAAATGAAACATGGAACATTTGGAAAATTGAAACGTGGAGAAATCGAAATCGCCTAAAATATAAAAATTGTAATTCGGAAAATTGAAAAATTTAAACAAAAAAAGAAAAATCGAAAAATTGATACAAGTGAACAACCGAAAATTGAGTGAAAAAATGTTAAGTAAAAAAAAACAGAAATCGAAAAATCTAAAATTTAAGAAATCAAAAAATCGAGAACTCGAGAAATCAAAAATTCGAAAAGTAAAAAAATTGAAAAATCTAAAAACTGAAGAATGGAATTGAAATTTGAGAAATCGAAAAGCGGAGTAATAGAAAAATTGAAGTATCGAGAAATCGAAATTCAAAAATTTGGTTATCGAAAATCTAAATTTTGAAAATTAAAAATTTGAAAACTCGAAGTCACAAATTCAAAAAACCGTGACATCAAAGAATCGAGAAATGAGAAATCGGCAAACCGAAAAATCTAAAATTAAAATATCGAAAAATTGGAAAATCCAGAAATGGAAAAATTCTCAAAAAGCTGAAAAATCTAAAATTTTTAAATATTAAAAAATCGTAAAATCTAAAAATTGAAAAATGTAAAATCTAAAAAACGAAAAAATTAAAATTAAAAAAAAAACAGGAAATTGAAAAATCAAAAAATCTAAAATTTAAAACATTTGAAAAATTGATGAATCGAAAAATTGAAAAATCCCAAAACTGATATGTATGCAGAAAAATTGATAAAACCGAAAAATGGAAAAATTTAAAAACCGAAAAATTGAATCAAAAATGGGAACCAAAAAAAGAAATCGAAAAATCTAAAATTTAAGAAATCAAAACATGAAAATATCAAAAAATTGAAGAATCCCAAAATTTAGATAACAAAAAATCCAAAGGTCGAAAATTTAGAAACGCCAAAAATTGAAATTTTGAAAAATTGAAGAATCGAAAAACAGAGAATTTCATAATTTGAAAAACCAGGAATTGAAAAATCTAAAAATGTAAAATTTAAAAAAGGAAAAAGTGAAAAAAAAACGGGTAATCTAGAAATTAAAATTTAAAACATGAAAAATAGAAAAATTGCAGAATCGAAAAACATGACCCAAAAATTGAAAAATCTCAAAACTGATAAGCAGAAAAATAGAAAACTCGAAGCACAAAAAAATTGGTAAATCAAAGTCTAAAAATCGAAAAATCGAGAAATTGAAATGGCTCAAAATAGTAAAATTGTAATTTGGAAAATTGGAAAATTTGAATTAAAAAAAAAATCAAAAAATCGAAATCTCGATAAATCGAATAATTGATGAAAGTGAAAAACAGACAAATTTAAAAACTGCAAAATTGAATAAAAAAATGGGAAATAAAAAAAGAAAATCGGAAAATCTGAAAATTAAGAAATCAAAAAATTGAAGAATACCAAAACTTAAATACCGATCAATGGAAAAATTGAAAAATCGATAAATCGAAAAACCAAAAACCTGAAAAAATCGAGAAACCGAAACATCGAAAAATAAGAATATCAAAATATCGAAAAATCTAAACGTCAAAAATTCAGAAACAGAAAAATTGAGATATTGAAAAATTGAAGAATCGAAAAAAAAAACTTAAAAATCCCAAAATTGAAATATTGAGAAGTCGAAACTTAAAAACTTGAGAAATCGAAACATCGAAATACATAAAAATTTAAAATTCAAAAAATTAGAAAAAAAGTAAAATTTTTATTTTTTCTAAAAATCTGGATTTTTAGGATAAAGACTCGTGCATTTATAAACCTCAAGTGGAGGAGTATCTTATTTTATAAAATTTAAATAACATTTACTAGCGTAAACTTTGGAGATGACGTAATGCCATTGTTGATGGGTATGATTGGCCAAATTTTGGTCAGCGTTTTACCGTCTCCACGATAATCTTATCTGTCTAATAAAAATCCGAACGGACGGCAGACAGACAGTCAGACGGAAACGGGAGATCTATTTTTTCGCACTCCAGGGGTCATGAAACCTCGTGAATACATAAAAGTAGCTAGTAGCCCGATGGACTCGATTACAATATTTCCTTATCTTACGCTCGTGAAGAAAAGACAGTCAAATATGTAGTAACATTTATTTTTCAATATTGAAGATTTTGAAAAAAAAAATAGAAGCGAACATCGCCATACTTTTGATTTTATCGTTGTATATCACTTAACTTGTTATTAAACATAGGTGTTAGCACATTTCGAGTTCGTTAATGTCTAAAAAAACACTATTTGAGAACACACTACGACATTCGCAAATTCTTAAATACTTACCCAAGAATTTACCTAAACTTACTTATGGTGGACATTGACACTTATTTTTATTGTCATATTTTTATTAAAATATTATTATTACATGTCGCTTCAAACCACAAACTACTTCTGATTGGAGGTAGAATCTAAAGCACTTCCAGTGAATTTTCTTTCCAAGCTTATCTTACAACTAGAGCTTCACAAACAGCAAAACTGACAACAAAAGCAGTCTCAAATTTTATATAAAGTTAAACCATGTATTAACCAATGCGACTCAAATACAATATAGTGCAACACCGACCAATCACCAATCAAAATCGTTATCCGAGTCGTCACCACCACCTTCCTCCTTCTTCGCTTTCTCTTCTTTAACCGTTCTTTCAGCCCACAATTTCTTCAAACCCTCACAAACCGCATCACTTGGTGGCTCCAAAAGATCTATATCGACATCTTCCAGGGCCATGGGTTTTTCTGAAAAAAAAAAAAAAAAAAAAAAAAATCGATTAAAGACACTGTCTAACCACAACCCACACAACTCACCCAAAAGTTTATCAGCCCCTTTATTAACAAGTCTCTGGCTGTTGCTATTCTGCATCATGTTAATCCCGAGAGAGAGCTTCTTCTCGGACTTGTCGCTTTCCGTGTTTAAACTATCCAAGAAGCTGTATATTTCGTCAGACGTGTCGACCTGCGGCGCCGACTCTAGTTTTCGTTCTCTATAGTTTACGCGGATGTTTTCGTTGAACGGTAGCGACGTGAAGAGGAAACATTTCGGGTTGTTGTCCGGTTTAGGCACCAGGACTACGATTTTTGGCGCGAAATTGTTATTGTAGATGCGTCTAGCTATGACGTATTTTTTTTGTTCAGCCAAACGGTCGATTAGGATGTTTAGGGCCTCGTTTCTTTCGGGGGTGCTGTTGGGGAGGACGCGGTAGCAGCCGTCACCCCTCATAAGATACTATAATGTGTAAAGTGTACTAGTTGTATTTTTTTAAACATTAATAAAGGGAGATTAATTATGACTAATACTAATCTAAAGTGTGAGCTATATATTAATTGTATTGATGAAATCGCATTCCTGAGGTTACGTATGGGAGTGACGTCACTGAATTCAAGGAAGTTATAATAAATAAATTTGGCGGAAGTCGGTAATTAAAAAGATATTTGATAAAATAAATTATATTATTTATATAAAAAAAACAGGATATTTTATAACTTCGTAGAACCGAGTTCTATAGAGATAAATTGATCATTAACAACTAGTAGTATGCAGGTACCATTGATTACGAAATGCTTTAATCACATTATTATCTGTTCATATTTTCTAAAGATTCACCCATCTGTTGATAACAATAAATATTCTTTATTGTAGTTGCGACTGTGTCGACTGATAATGGATGTCTTATCAATTATTGACCACTCTTAATGTTTGCTCTAAGACTAAGAATGATATTTCAAAAATAAATTTACTTTCCACTTTATAAAAAAAGTGACGATTTGAATGTGGTTCTGCGCATGCGCAACTGTCACTTTTTTAAAGTAACCAATAACAACCTGATCCGGTGTTTGTGACGTCACACCACAAACAAATTTTCGTGACATTTGTTTGTTAGTACCATTTGGGTCACCAAATTTATTTATTGTTCTTACCTCTGGTACGTTAACGCTATCTGTGAAACACAGGACGCTGAAACTCCTAGGATTCTCGACTTGAAACATCTTATTTTCCGGCATTTGAACGAATTTACCGTGCCTCATTATTCCGCTGATTACATCAGAGGCATCAACTTCCACTGTCTCATCCTCTGCATCAATCCTTTAATCAGATAAATAGCATTATTTTTAGGAAACTATGCCGCGATATCTTATCAAACAAAAATTTTAATTACTTACCAAGCAGGGTTTCTTATTGCTCCTTGCGTTGACACTAATTTACACTTAACGTCCATATCTAGGACTTTCACAGTTTGTGCAGGAATTTGTATTTTACTCCCTAAACCCAACGGGACTTGCCATGGTTGACCACCTATCTTGTTTTTAAAAGCAAAGAATAAATGCACCCCCATTTTATAATCACAAACAACGCTGTTATCTATTTGAGAAATAATTTTTTGCAACACTGTGAGATTGTCAGTGGTTGCTTTAAAATTTTTCATCCACAATTTAACATGTTGTGGACTTTTAATAGTAAAAGGAACTTCAATTTCAGGCCCCACGACATACAAAAACGCGTTTAGTTTCTTTATTCCTCGTACGATTTTATCAATGAGGGTTTGATTTTTGTCACCAAGCGGTGTCGCGAGATCTGTGATAAATAAAATTTGGTGTGTGATAATGCCGCCGATGTCTTCGAACTCTTCTTCTAGGTTTTTGACCGCTACATACAACCCTTCAAGCCAGTTGGCCTCACCCGGCTCGTTATCTGAATAACCAGACACTAGTTACAATAATTAAAAAATTAAATACTTGCTTTCATTGATCATCTCAAACACGAGTTTGGGGTCATACGTTGTAATATCTTTCGAAACTTCGTTAATATTGTCGTAACCACCATCCTTAGCGTTTAATCGGTTCTCAGTTACGTCTGAATTTAACAAAATTAGTTTGGTTAGGTCTTTGGAGCCGGAGAAAAAATTCGTGCAGCAAATTTTTGCCAGGGTTTGTCTGGCAAGCGCTTGTGCTTTAACGTCAAACAAAACAACAGAGCAGTCTTTCTTTGCCGCTGGAGGCATTTCGGAGTCTTAACTATTTGTGCAACACAAAAACAAGCACAGACTTGCTGAAGCCGCGAAATTAGATAACCTAGAAAAATTTGATTCGTTTGACAAATGACAGCCACAGAACGTCGTTTAGTTAGTGTAAAAACGAAAATCTCTAGTCGAGTAGCGACAAGTCGTACTTCCAGTGGCGTAGATAATGTTCGGACGACGCAACTTTTTATTAATTTTGATTTCTTTTTTTTTCAGAGACGACCAACTCATTCGCGACGCCATCGGGCGCAGCGAGTTCCTCAACAAGATATTAAAAGGCGACTTGCTCAAGCAAGTCGTCGACGCCATGTACAACCGCGAAATCAAAGCCAAAGAAGTGATCATAAAAGAAGGCGAGAAAGGATCTCACATGTACGTTTCGGCGCACGGTTCCTTCGAGGTCTCCGTCAAGGGCAAAGGCGTCGTTAACACCTTCGACGACGTCCGAGTCTTCGGCGACACCGCCATCCTCTACAACGACAAAAGAAACGCCACGGTTAAAGCCCTCAAGGCCGGACGCGTGTGGGTTCTGGATCGGTCCGTCTACCAGAAGCTCATGGTTCGCTTCAACATCAAAGAACAAGACGAGATGTTGATGTTCCTGCAGGACGTGCCCACGCTGAACAAGGTCGGGAACGCGGCGTTGCAAAAGGTCGCGACGTTGCTGAAGGTGAAGTACTTCGCGCCTGGTACTACCGTGATCAAGCAGGGGGAGAAAGGGGACAAGTTTTATATAATTAGGGCGGGCACGGTGACTATCACGCGGGAGGGCGAAGGCGTGGTGGCGAATTTTGGAAAGGGGAAGTACTTCGGGGAGTTGGCGCTGCTGAAGGAAGATTTGCGACAGGCGACGGTCACTGCGGACGCGCCTGGCGGGGTGGAGTGTCTCACGCTGAAGAGACAGCACTTTATTGACCACTTCGGCGAGCTTAAGGAAGACGGGATCATCACGGTGCCTACTGATACTCGTAAGGCGTCTCACGTGGTGAGGGAGCACCAAGATATTGAACTTAAGGACTTGAAAATCATCACTACGTTAGGAGTGGGAGGGTTCGGGCGGGTGGAGCTCGTCCAACACAAAACGAAGAGTTTGATATTCGCGCTAAAATACCTGAAGAAAATCGACATGGTGGAGCAAAACCAGCAGGATCATGTGTACAACGAGAGGAACATCCAGCTGGATTGTCGATCCAAGTTTATAATCAAGCTGTACCGCAGCTATAAAGACGCCAGATATATCTATTTTTTGATGGAACCGTGTTTGGGTGGAGATTTATGGACACTTCTCCAGCGACAAAAAACACGCCGGTTTGACGAGAAAGACGCCCGTTTTATTGCCGCTTGTGTGTTGGAGGCTTTCACCTACCTCCACGAGAGAGACATCGTGTATAGGGATCTCAAGCCGGAAAATATTTTGATAGACGAAAATGGCTACGTCAAGCTAACTGATTTCGGTTTTGCCAAAAAACTAGGGACTAGAGGACGGACGTTCACTTTTGCCGGCACACCTGAGTATGTCGCACCTGAAATTATCCTCAGCAGGGGTCACGACAAAGGCGTGGATTATTGGGCTTTCGGGATTTTCATTTTCGAGTTGCTGACCGGCAGAACTCCCTTCCGTACCAACGATGCTAGTCATATGAGGACGTACAACAAAATTCTAACCGGGATAGACAATGTGGATTTTCCTTCATATGTCACACTTAGAGCCAGAAATATTATCGAGAAGTTGTGTCGGTCCATACCCACGGAACGCCTAGGTTGTCAGAAAAACGGGGTTAAAGATATTAAAAACCACAGATGGTTTTTGGGTTTTGACTGGATTAAACTTAACGAGGGCAAACTGCCAGCACCTTTCAGACCTAGACTCAGGTCGAACACAGATACTCGGTATTTTGAAGCGTTTAAGAAGGACACAGACGTCCCGCCAGTCGAAGAGAGCGGGTGGGACAAAAACTTCTAGGTTTAGGTTATTAGAGCTCACCAAACATAGGAGCTGTGGTGCGCAACCCAATGTTTGGTGAGCTGTACTCCAATAGGTGCTTGTTATTTTAAAGTTGGTACTACACGCTCGATTTGTCTTCGAACTGTCAAAATTTTTGTACGTCTGTCACGTTTGTCGCTCTTAATTTTTTTTTTGTTTTGTTTTCGACAAGAGAAATCGACTGTATCCATCAGTTGTACTGTAACTATGTACATATTATCGTGTAAGGTTAAATGAGTAAATCAAATTCTGTCAAGTTATTTTTTTAATAAATGTCCTTAATTATAACCATAAGAGTTAATGACAGCTGTGAACGGTGCCACCTGTTTGGTGACTTTAGCTGAGGCCTCTTTTGTAAGTTTCTTCAGCTTGTCACGTTTGCGGATGGTAAGGACAGCCTTGACTTTGCGCTTAGACTCCAGCGCACGGACCACCGATTGGTACTTCCATCCTACTTCATGGGACAACCGTCCCACGTGACAGAACTGGAATTTTATGGAAAAACCATGAAAAACTGGCAACACTGCGTTTATAAATAATTACGAAAAACGACAATCATTCGAAATTTATTATCACGTTTTGTCAAATAATGTAGGTAAATGTGAATTAATCATGATAAAAGAAACATTGAGATTCAAAATTCAATAAAAAACATCTCATTTTTTTGACAATAATCTGTAGTTGATTGAAAATATAGCATATAATTGAAAAGCGTCACCTGGTACGTAGGGAAATTTATTTTTAAAATAACGATGTTGGCACTGCAGCTATTTGACAGTCAAGCTGAACCAGGGACGCGTTGATTTTGCCAACATAATTTTTTCAACATTAAACATTGCAAAATTCTTTGAAACTATTCAAAAAAAAAAGTATTTATTAATCTATTAATGGCCTCCAAAAATTTTGACTTAAATGAGTCTTCAGGTGTAACTCAATAAAACAAAAACAACAAAATATTTAAAATTTTGAAAACCAAATTTTCAGTGTTGAATTTAATCTCAAATACAGACCTGTGCCCCTTAAAAGTGCTACATTTATCACTTACCTTGCGGCCAGGTTTCAAACAGATTACTCTAAGGGCACCTGGAACTACAACTCTCTTTCTACGGTCATATGGTGGTGGTACACCTTCGTAGGTCTTCAGTCGCCTCAAAGCCTGCTTTCCACGTTCAGTCTTGTGGGGCAACATGCCTGATAAACGACAAAAATTACCTTGCTGCTTCCAGACAAAATAATGTGTAAAAAATTATTCATTCTCATACTTTGTGTTTTTTCACAATCATTCAAATAATGTAGGTAAGAAGATTAACTAATCATTGCAAAAGTTCAAGAAAATGTGGTAAATTTAGGATTGCCTACCTCTCACTGTCTTCCAGAAAATCCTGGATGGGGCCCTAAAGTGGAATGGGCCACGGGCTGGATTCACATTGCAGCGTTTGCGTAGAAACGATAAGTATTTTAACTTGTTTCTAGAATAAACCAATAAAATAAAAATTACAGTGGTTATAGCGACCTTACCTGTAGAAATTTCCTGAGATGTTTAATTGTTCACATCTCACCACTATAACCTTGTTGCCTTGCAAAAGTGTTTTTGCTACAACTGTGGCTAATCGACCGAGTAAATGGCCTCTGCCATCGATCAAAATGGCCTAAAATTAAGAAAAAACGAGTTAATAAGGGCAACACGTGTATCCATATCTGGATGAGGTTATGGACACCAAATTACTACTTTGTGCATTAGTGAAAATTTTTAAGCACCAAACTGTAAATTAACTTCAACCTGAGTTGATTCACAGTCAAACTTTTAATTATTTATACAAAAAAATACCAAGAAAACAATTTACCTTTTCACTAAAACCCGTCATGTTTGCACCATGAACGGAAAAGAATGGCGACGGAAGTGAGAAAAGATGGCTCCAGCAAACGTCATTTCGTACCAATCGTAACAAAAAAATCCCCACAGGAATTTCAATTATCGTGAATTATTTATTAAACTGAAATAAAAACAACGCGATTTGACTTGAAAACTTTCACATCATCGCAAATCAAAAGCAATCAATAACTTTGGAAAAATTCACGCAAACCTTGCGATTGGTTGTACTTAACCTCAACTTCCAATTCACTAGATTTGGATTATGATGATAACGAATAAACTAAGTAGGAACGAAACTATTATTAAAGTCCATTTATTTCCATTATAATTACACTGTGAGTAAATACAAAACTTAAATCTAGTACGGCCTTGGTGGTCCTGGCGGCCCGCCCCTCATCATCCCCGGCGGCGGCCCCCGCATGCCCATGGGCGGCGGCGGCCCTCCGCGCCCCATCCCCATGGGCGCCGGCGGCATCCCCATCATGCCTGGCGGCGGCCCCATCATTCCCGGTGGCGGTCCCCCCATCCGTGGAGGCCCCTGGCTCATTTGTGGAGGTGCTGCGACTTGTCCGCGCCCTCCTGGGGTCATAACCTGCTGAGAAGGTCCCCCTACGCCCCTCACTGGTCCCTGGAGTCCCACGGGAACTCCGCCAATTCCTGCTGGCATGCCGCGGCCGGCGGCGCGTCCTATTCCGGGTCCGGGGGCGGCACCGGGGATTGGGACGCGGGGTAAACCCTCCTCTGGTGGTGGAGGGCCCTCTACCGTTAGCGAGACGATGCTTTCGCCCCTAAGCAAAACAAAGCCCAAAACCCGCTTTTCCTCCCTTTCCACTTTAGCGTTTTTCGGTTTGATTTTCCGGAACTCTTCGCAGTCTCCGAGGATCATGTTCATGTGTTTGTCGAAGGCTTTGAAGGTGCCTATGAAAGTGCGGGAGTCCTGGAGGGTTATTCGGACTCTGTAGTTTATATGCTGGAGCATTTTGTTGTTCTTGCCCATCGTCTGGAAAAGATGGGGTTAGTGGAGGCGGCGGGGCGTGTGGAGGGTTTACCATTTTGGGCGGTTTTTGGGGGTACTTGTAACACAAAAATTGGTAAACGTTGGTTGTGCGAACTTAACCTAAAAAGTGTGTATACCGGGGTAGGCCGGACGCGTCTTTTGGACGAGTTGGGTTGGCACCACTGGGTTTGGGTGAAGGATGGCGGCGCGAATTTCAAATCTCACAGTTAATTAAACAGTAGTTTCTGACTTATAAACAAATAAAATAGTGAATAATCATTCTTTATTTTATTGTAATATTATTAGAATTACAGTAAGGCAGTTCTGCAAGCCATCAGTCATTTAAAATAACAAAAAATCTATATATCTACAAGTCACTTATATAAAACGCTAAAAATATCTTTCGCTTAAGAAAATATTACAAATGCTCAAGAAACTAGAGTATAAATAATTAGTGGCAATAACTGCACTGTGGGTGACACTTGACTCCGTTGACTCCGCACTGACAGCCCCCCGAAGTATCACCTTTGCCTGCGGGGCCCCAGCGCGGTCCCCTGGTCACCCAACAGATCTCAGTTTTGCACATTGAACACCTTACCCAATCACAGCCCCATTTTTTCATTAATATCACTTGGCAAGTCGGGCATGTTAAAGCTTCACCTTTCCTCACCATCTCGTCGACCATTTCTTTGGTCCTTCGTGCGTCTTCGTCCACTTCGGACTCCTGATTCATTTTCTCCTGGTATTGCTTGCAGTTCAACCCCGTATGGATCGCCTGCAAACACATCTCAATTTGTTTATAAACACAATATACAATAAATACCTGACAAGTCAAACAATTTAATTTCCTGCAAACCGGACACCTAAACTCGTTCACGTTGTCTTCGAAAATGCACCACCCTCTACAATCTGGAGTCTTGCAATGGAACGACTTCCCGATTTTGTTTTCCGCTTCGGAAACCGATTTTGCGAGATAATTGTCGTAGACTTGGGGGGTCACTAAAGCTTTGATTTCTCTGTCTTGTAGCGCTATGTTGCAGGAGTAGTCGTTGTCTCGGTAGGGACATTTGACTTCCGCGTCTTCTGTGTACTCTACAGTGTGAGCCAAACAGATTTTGCAAAACTGGTGCAAGCACTCCCTTAAGGTCACTCCTTCACCGGGTGCTATTTCCATAAAACAAACAACACACTCGAACGGTTCTCTGTTTTCTACTAGATCCTTATTGTCTAAATTGACTAGCTGCAAATACGTTTGATCAGTTTTGGACGACTCCCCCATAGCTTGAGGCTGGGGGGCTTTTTTCTTGAGAGATTTCTTCGACGGTGCGGCTGGGGCGATCTCCTTCAGTCTCACCGTGGCACAAACGGCGCATACATTACTAGCAACAGGATTGAGAAGAGTGCACAAATGGCATTCCCACTCTTTGGGTGGCTTCAAGGTTTTAGAATCGTAATCTTCAAAATCCTCCTCCGCTTGGGCCAGATTTTGAATCGGCTCTATTTCTTTTTTAGTGGTTACAGGAGTCACATTTACGTGAAGTTCAGTTTTGACTTCCACTTTCTGGCCTGCGCTTTCAGTGAAACTCAGTCTAAAGTCCTTTTCGACATTTTTTTGTATTTGGTTTTGCTCAGGCTTCGCTTCCACTCTCTGTACTTGTGCTAGCTCCCTGACCTGCACCAAGCTTTTTCTGATGTTGGCTTTGATGTCGTCGCGACTTTCTGCTTGTTTTTCTTCCTTTTTGATGGACTCTGGTTCCTGTCTGACATTGCTCCTCGGCTCGTTTATTTCGGGTTTTATTTGAACTGGTTTTACGTCAATGGTGGTCGTAGACTTAAAAATTGCACTTTTATCGGATGTTTCTGTTTTCACAGCTGGTTCAATCACCTTAGGAATTACATCAACGATTTTTGGGATTCGGTTAACTTCGCCGGTGATGTCATTCGTGTTTATTGGTAATTTGGACGTGCTTGGAGCTTCCTGGTCTTTATTGGCAACGATTTTAACGTCTGGGATGGTTTTGGGGTCTAGAATGTCATTGTTAGAATTAGATGGGAAAAACTTTGACGCTACCTGGGGCGACGAGGTACAAAAACACCGGACATCGCTCGGTTGTGATGTTGTGGTCTTTTAAAGTCGCGCTGTCGTCGGTCGCCAGTTCCTTTCCAAGAATCCATCGTTGCACATTCACTGGAATCTCAAACTCTTGTTCCACTTGTTTCTTCAGTTCTGCAAGGGTCTGGTTTTGGGTGACTTCAAGAGGAAATGGTCCTCTATGTGAAATTTTGTCTTCCACGTACATTTCAATGCTAAAACACAAAAATGTACAACTAGACGCAGTTTAAACGTGTAAATACTTACTTAAAACCTTGTTTTTTGCCACTTTGGTTTGCAGGTTTTTGCCTAATCACCGAACAATTTACCTTCAGTTGTGCCAATTCTTTAGCGAAACTCGCAGCTTCCGTCAACTCTCCCTTGGCAATCGCGGTTTCCAATCTCCTCAACAGTCTATTAATCTCTATAGTGTCCGTATTTTTATCAGCTTGACTCATGCTATTTTTTATTTCGTTGAAGCGTTTAGGCATGTTGAAAAATAGAGAGAGTTCGTTGTTTCGGGCCAAATTTGCGTAAATCCGAGCCGCTGACTGTGCGTTTGAGTCAGTGTAAATATTTTCAAAGTCTTTGGGTCTCATCAGTTCGAAGTTCGTCTTCTTTTCGGTTTCTTTAGTCGGGAGGATTTTTTTGACCACGGAACTGGTTTGAGCGGAAGCTGAAACTTTGACAGGTTTAGGACTGTTATCAATTTTCTTGACTTTGATATTTTCGTAGATGGTTTCAGTGGTCCCGATTATGATTTCTGCAACTTTTTCCTCCTGTGTTTTGGTTGCTGGTTCTTCATTGTTTGGTTGCTCTTCTTTGTCTTCAGTTTTTGGTTCTTCTGCAGGTGGTTCTACTACGGTTTCTGGATTCTCGACAATCACGCTCTGTCTGCTGTTCTGCTTCATCAGAATGTTCGACTTTCGCTTCGGGAGCGAATTCTTCATTTCGATCAACATTTTCTTCAGTTTTTCCCGTTCTTCGCTCTTGGTGTCGGGTTCTTTGGTGCCTTTTTCGTCCAAAGAGACCGACTTTTCGATTTTCTTGTTTTTGTTGTTGAGGTTGTAGGAAGCGAGAGCCGAAAACCCGATTTGGGTTTTCGCCCGTTCGAAAACCTTGTCTGGGGTTTTGGCGACGGGTTCTTCGTTGGTGGTTTTCGTGGGTGCGGACGACGAAAAGTCGTCGAAGTAGGGTTTGATGGTTGAGCATACGTGACAGATGATTCTCCAGTAGTCGTTTTCGACGGAGCACTTGGGGCACTTCCAGTTCTTCCTGTCAACCTTTGGGGTTTCGGGTTTGGGTTTGATGGCGCTAGCGCTTTCGGATTTCATCAACGGGTTGTTCAGTTTTCGGTCGATTTGTTCGATTCGCTTCTTGTGCGACTCGAGGAGGCTCTCTTGCTTGCGGTCGTCGCTCAAGAGACTCGTTCTTTTCCCGAAGTAGTCCTTCTTCTGGTTTTGGGACACCCCGAATACTGTGGCTCTCGTGACGTTGGTGATGGCGTTGAACTTCGCTATCAGATCCTTCGCGGAGCGTCTCTTCGGCGATATCCAACTGTCCGTGTTTATTTTGGGTTCGTCTTTCGGTCGCATGAACTGCGGTATTTCCTGGAACTCGTTTCCGTTTTTTTGGTGTTCTTTTTTGACTATCTCTGAGGCTTCTCTGTCGAGCTCGCTGATGTTGGTGAGGAACGACATCCCCGACTTTCTCTTCTCCTCGACGACTTTTTTCTTGTCTTTGATGTTGTCGTCTAAAGTTAGGTCAATGGTGGAATTCCGAACGTACTGAACTTCCGGTAGCCGCTCGACCGGCTCGTATTTGTGTGATTCTTTTTCTTTTTTGTTGGCGCTGCTTTCGCGGGCGGTTCTCTTGTACCAAGGTCTAGGTGAAACGGGCGCGTCCATCACGAAACTTGACCTTGCCGAAGATGTGTCTTCGGTGGCTTCTTTAGCCGGTTTTAGAATCCCGTGGTCTAATTTTAACGAGTCGTTAAAAATGATGTCTGTGTTGGCGTTTTCTAGGGTATTTTTGATTTTCTCGATGCTGGGAGGAGCAGGCGCTAGACGCTTCTTCCGTCTTAGACTCATGGTGGAGGAGCTTTGTTGGGCGAGACCTGGGGGCTGCGGCGCTCTGCGTTTCCCCTTCACGTGCAAATAAGCGCCCGCTTTCTTCGTTTTGGACGACTCGCTGTTGGTCCTCCTGTGGGCCTTTTCTTCCTCTTGGTCCATGGATGGGCGCGTCATCAGAGGCAAACTCTTGCTGTTCTCGTCGTCTTCTTTCTTCACGGTTTTCAGCAGGGTTTCCCGGTTGAAGAAGAGGTTGTATTTCTTCCTCAGCGTGACGTTCTTGTCGTTTTCTCTTCTTTTGTCCCTTTGTTTGAGGCGCGCCTTGTAGGTGTCGGTCTCCGGACCTAGAACTATGCACTTTTCGGCGACCTGGTTGGTGTAGTCCCCCGGGGGCACATAGGAGAAGGACGCCACGGTGCCGCTGCTATGCGTGGAATTCAAACTGTCGCAGCTGCTGGAATTTTGCGTGTCTATGGATTCGCGCGACGTGGAGGGCTTAAACCATTTCAAGAAAGCAAATAAACCACTGTTTCGTTTGGCGGTTTTTGGATCACAGCCAGGACTTTGTCCGATGCTCTCCGGGGGTGAATCTTGATGATGGAGACTCATAGTCCCATCACATCTTCTCTCATCGGGAAAACCTCGCCTTCATCACAACAAAAGCCCCGATGTAACAATGACCCACTGCCACGTGTTCGCGGGATCCGATTACAGGATATTTTTAGAAAATTTTCACGCACTGGAGAGGAGTTTGGGCCGCGTTATGGAACTCACACCGACTTACCGACTGTTTGCGTTGCCATAAATTGCGGAAAAGTTGGTTAATTGAGCTTCTTGATCACCGATTTCGAGTGTATTTTCAGAGTTTACGTTCGTGACGTTGAGAGCGAATAGAAACGACGCTCGGCGTCCCGATGCTTGGGTTAAAATTAGTAAGCGTGTAGTTCGGCTACGTCCGGTTGTCAAATTGTTCCTCAATTTTCTGTTTACTAAATACCATTAAAAATAAACACAGCCTTCTCAACCATGGTGGAGTAGCGGAGCTCGGGAAACGATTTTTTTTATCTTCATTGGTTTTTTTGCTTTCGGTGCATCCACTACTAGTAAAAATAACTCGGCATTACGTAAGTTTTGAATATGATGAAAACTAATTTGTGCTGTGGAGTAGCTTGGCGAGAGTTGAGATGATGCGATTTTTCTCGAAATTTATCTTTAATAGAAGCCAAGTTTTGTATTTGTATCCTTAATATGATAGAGTGGCTCATCGTTACTAATTATAACTGCACTTAGATTTTATTTGTTCGTCAGTCGTCAGTAACCAATTCTCGATTTTGGAAACCCATTTTTATATGTGCTGTAAAAATCTTGATTTACCGGATGTTCAGCAGCTGTTGAAACCCGTACAACATTTGAAACAACTTTGTTCGTTTCTAACCAATTAAAAAACGCTATTTTATCTTCTAAATACTCAAAATTTAATATTTTTTATTCACAAAAAAATGTCCTTGTTGTAATTCGAAAAAAAAAAGGTAAAACCATTCTTGGATAGTCTGTTTAAAATGACCTCTAAAGTTTGTACAACACTCAGTTTTGTCTAAAAGGGCTATATTTTAAACTTATTTTTAGCTGTAGACTAAAAATAAATGTCATACGTTTAACAGCGTAGATTGGAGGGGAACATAGTACACAACTAAGGGCTTTGTTGAGCAAAAATTGTCCTATACTTGCAACCTACCGAGTCCTTCAAGGGTTGCTGCATATTAATTTACATATAAAACATAAACAGAGAACTAAAACTGGTTTTGAAGTATTTTCTAAAATTCAGGAAATAAAGTATTCAAAATTACAAAATTACTGCTACTACAAACGTAACAATGTGTGTTATTTTTAACACGAAGTTGCTTTTAATATTACGCACAATGATCTAAGTACAATGTGATCGAAAATAAAACGCAGTATATTTGGCTGAAAGATGAACTGTAGAGGTGGTACTACTGCTCAACTGGCATGTCATTTTGCCAGCTGACAGATCTTGCACCTGTCAGAAATTTAACACTGAAGAAATTCATATAATCATATTAACTAAACGTCTAGCGACAAAAAGTAATTCATAATTAGTTATGTTGGTACTGATTTATGTCAAACTGAGGGCAGTAGTATCACACAAAGCTTGACAGGCAACTTTGAGCACTTTAGTCATTCCTGCTTGAGGCAGATTGCTTTTTTATTTCTCGTGTCGAGATCTATCCTGGATTTTTTTTGTCAGTTTTTAGATCTTATGAAAATTTAACCCTTTTTACTTCCCGAGCGTAAGCAAAGGAAGTATTGTAATCGAGTCCGTCGGCCGACTCTCTACTTTTACGTTTTCTCGATCTTTCATGACCCCTAGAAGACGAAGAAATAGGTCTCCCATTTCCGTCTGTCTGTCCGTCTGTCCGTCTGTCCGTCTGTCCGTCCGTCTGTCCGTCTGTCCGTCTGTCCGTCCGTCTGTCCGTCTGTCCGTCTGTCCGTCCGTCTGTCCGTCTGTCCGTCCGTCTGTCCGTCTGTTGTCCCGGATTTTTATTAGACAGATAATCTCCGAAAGTACTCGACCGATTGTTGTGAAATTTTGTACTTATATTAAGAATATCATGTAGATGGTAAAACGCTAACCAAAATTTGTCTAATCATCCCCACCACTAATGCGATGACGTCACTTCAAAATTGTACATAGTAAATGGGTTTTCAATTGTATAAAATAACATAGTCCTACACATGTAGTTTACAACTCCGAATCGACTTTTCACCCGAAACGTCCAGATTTTTGGAAAAAAAATCAAAATTATAAAACAACATTTTGAAATTTAATTTTTAATCTGCTAACCAGAATGCTTTGAAATGTTGCAGATGTTTTAAGGCTATAAAGAGCATCATAAATCTTTAGTCAAAAAATATTTGCTTACCCCCTCCAAAAACTTGATGACGTCAGCTCAAAAGTTTGTGGAATAAATCATATCTAAAATGTACAAAATATGATGAGTCTGTACTTGTGATCTATCACTCCATTCATATTTTTTGGATTTGCATATACAGGGTGACTCAAAAAAATTAATGAATGCGTAAATATATTTTATTGATTTAATCAGGAACTACAAAACCGAATGCTCTGAAATCTTGCAGATGTTTTAAGGTCATAAAGAGCATAATAAATGTTTAGTCAAAATATATTTGCTTATCCCCTCCAAAAACTTGATGACGTCAGCTCGAAAGTTTGCCGAATAAATCTTATCTAAACTGTACAAAATATGATGAGTCTGTACTTGTAATTTATCACTCCATTCATATTTTTTGGATTTGCATATACAGGGTGACTCAAAAAAATTAATGAATGCGTAAATTTATTTTTTCGATTTAATCATGAACTGCAAAACCGAATGCTTTGAAATCTTGCAGATGTTTTAAGGTTATAAAGAGCATAATAAATGTTTAGTCAAAATACATTTGCTTATCCCCTCCAAAAAATTGATGACGTCAGCTCGAAAGTTTGCCGAATAAATCATATCTAAAATGTACAAAATATGATGAGTCTGTACTTGTGATCTATCACTCCATTCATATTTTTTGGATTTGCATATACAGGGTGACTCAAAAAAATTAATGAATGCGTAAATTTATTTTACTGATTTACTCAGAAACAACAAAACCGAATTCTTTGAAATCCACTGCGAAAAAAAAAACATAATAGGCATGCAGTCGTCACGTTTCCGACAGCGAGGGAAGTACTGTCGAAACTCTTTAGACCAATTTTTTTGACTACATTTGAAAATTACAGATTACGACCTCCACAAGTTATTTTTAGTCTCATTTCTTCGAAAAGTCCTTCTATATACATATTGGTCCAGAATCGCCCAATGAAATATCGCAATTTTTATTATTTTTTTTTAATTGACTTTCTACAGGAAGGAATTTTTTCAAAAACTTTTTCCGGGAACTTAAATACAATATGTTTTTGTGATATCTACGTCGAGATCTCCATCGTGGAGTTTTTCCTGAGTTTTTAGCAAACTTTTTCAAAAGCTCTATATTTCAATACTACAATACTTCATTTTCGAAAATTTCACCCTTTTTTCGACCACCTTCGAAAACTATCCAAAGAGATTTTTCTGTAGATTACGACATATAGAAGTTACTTTTAGTCTCATTTCTTCGAAAAGTCCTTCCATTTTTTTAGAGTCGTCAAAAGAAATACGGCAATTTTTATTTTATTTTTTTTTAATTGACTTTTAAACCGAATATTTCGAAAACCTTTTTCCGGTAGCATAAACGCGCTATATTTTTCGGATCAGTAAGTCGAAATCTATGTCCTGGAATTTTTTTCTAAATTTTTTAGCAAATTTTTTCAAAAGACCTAAGATATTTCAATATTTCTTTTTTCGAAAATTTCACCGTTTTTTCGACCACCTTCGAAAATTATCCAAAGAGATTTTTCTGTAAATTACAACATTTAGAGTCTCATTTCAGTCTTATTTCTTCCATTTTTCTAGAATCAGCCAACGAAATGTCGGAATTTTTATTATTTTTTTAAATTGATTTTCCAACGAAATTTTTACAAAATCTGTTTCCGGGAACATAAACATGCTATATTTTTCGAATTAGTAAGTCGAAATCTATGTCCTGAATTTCAAAAGTTTTTTCAATACATCTTTCGAAAATTGTATCCTTTTTACTTCCCGAGCGTAAGCAAAGGAAGTACTGTAATCGAGTCCGTCGGCCGACTCTCTACTTTTACGTTTTCTCGATCTTTCATGACCCCTAGAAGACGAAGAAATAGGTCTCCCATTTCCGTCTGTCTGTCCGTCTGTCCGTCTGTCCGTCCGTCTGTCCGTCTGTCCGTCTGTCCGTCCGTCTGTCCGTCTGTCCGTCCGTCTGTCCGTCTGTCCGTCTGTTGTCCCGGATTTTTATTAGACAGATAATCTCCGAAAGTATTCGACCGATTGTTGTGAAATTTTGTACTTATATTAAGAATATCATGTAGATGGTAAAACGCTAACCAAAATTTGTCTAATCATCCCCACCACTAATGCGATGACGTCACTTCAAAATTGTACATAGTAAATGGGTTTTCAATTGTATAAAATAACATAGTCCTACACATGTAGTTTACAACTCTGAATCGACTTTTCACCCGAAACGTCCAGATTTTTGGAAAAAAAATCAAAATTATAAAACAATATTTTGAAATTTAATTTTTAATCTGCTAACCAGAATGCTTTGAAATGTTGCAGATGTTTTAAGGCTATAAAGAGCATCATAAATCTTTAGTCAAAAAATATTTGCTTATCCCCTCCAAAAACTTGATGACGTCAGCTCAAAAGTTTGTGGAATAAATCATATCTAAAATGTACAAAATATGATGAGTCTGTACTTGTGATCTATCACTCCATTCATATTTTTTGGATTTGCATATACAGGGTGACTCAAAAAAATTAATGAATGCGTAAATATATTTTATTGATTTAATCAGGAACTACAAGACCGAATGCTCTGAAATCTTGCAGATGTTTTAAGGTCATAAAGAGCATAATAAATGTTTAGTCAAAATATATTTGCTTATCCCCTCCAAAAACTTGATGACGTCAGCTCGAAAATTTGCCGAATAAATCATATCTAAAATGTACAAAATATGATCAGTCTGTACTTGTGATCTATCACTCCATTCATATTTTTTGGATTTGGATATACAGGGTGATTCAAGAAAATAAATGAAAGCGTAAATTTATTTTACTGATTTACTCAGGAACTACAAAACCGAATGCTTCGAAATCTTGAAGGTATTTTAAAATTATCATAAGCATGGTAAATTTTTGATCAAAACGTATTTGGTCGTCCCCCTT